CTTACTCTCAAGGTTAACAAAATGAGTCCTGAATCAACTTAGGGATCAATTACACAGTCAGCAATCAAACTTTGAATCCATGTTTAATTACATAGCAGAGTCTTGTAGCTAGAGACTAATGTTGCATAAAAAAATGCCATGTTTCCACCTGGGCAAATGTTAAAATTACACTTGTAAGCTGTAGCTCCTTTTGGAGCTTGTAGGCACATGAGGCTCGTGAATTTCCTTTTTGTTCGTTTTCTTATATAATTTCTACTAACCAAACTATAATTTGTCATGCTAACTTATTTGTTTTGCATATAGGATGCAGCCACATTCTGGAATCAGCAGCCGTTGGCTGCACGGGAGTATGCATCAACCACTATTATTCCATCCTGCACAGTTGTGTTGCACATCGCGAACGCTGCAAAAGATCTTATTGATAATGAAGTTAAAGCTTTCTATAGGAGTCCTGATAATAGCCTTTATATGCTGCCTTCTACTCCACAGGTCAGTATGACTCTTGCACAATGGTCAACTGTTAGCAATAAAGTGCTTCTTTCTGAGATAAGTGGTTCTTGTCTGTCTCTGCGCAGTTCTAAATGTGCAATTCACTAATTTGATATGCTTTAGCAGTTTCTTTCTTATTTTACTTTTCTAAGAATGAAGTGTTGTCACTTGAATCTTCAAAACACCTTTTTCCTGTGTGACAAAGATTAGGAACTGATATGGTGTGTTTTTTAACAAGGTTAAACCATTGTCAACACTCAACAGTAGGCATGCATCTCATTCTCATCTGTTGTCTCTATCTTATTTATCATTTATTCATGAATGGGTTGCCTGTTATATTTTATTCTCCTATTTGTTAGCTGCCACGGTCTTATGTTCCAGGTAGTTGATCTAGCACAGATTCTTCGTTGACACTCATTGTTGTCCTTTATTTTTTATCAGGCACTTCTGGAATCAATGGGTTCCACAGGATCTACAGGACCTGAAGCTACTGCTGCTGCAGAGAAGAATGCTGCTCTGCTCACAGCAAGAGCTGGTGCTAGGGATCCATCAGCAATTCCATCCATATGCCGAATATCTGCTGCTCTCCAATATCCTGCTGGTAAGTTTTTCATTATCAATGAACCTGTGGGACCAGATGCTCAATTTAGAATCTTAAGCAACTGCAAGAGACTAGTCTTTACAGTATCTGTGCCATCATGATATTAAGAGCTACTTACTGCAGTATGCTATTGCATCTCTGATCTCTGTTAGTCTTCATGATTTCATGCAAATGGTTTCATAACCTTGTTTTAGTTGAACTGGTTGCTGGTAGCCTACACTTTTGTTAATAACTTAATATTTAAAGGTCCTGAAAATTTCCCCCCAGTTTCATTTTCAATCACCTGAGAGTTAGTTTCTGCTCTAACACATGGACTAGAAAGTATGAAGGCTGCTTGTGGGGAAATTTACTTACTATTGCAAGTTGCTGAGCCAGGGCTTTCTTAATGCCAATTCACAACTTGACAATTACCCTAAAGTGTTGATATAGGTGTTATTCCAGCAACAATATTTAACAAATGATTATTGGTAGTCAATACTGGTTTTTTCATTTGTGCGTCCATAACATTTCCCTCTCAGAGTTTTGTTTTATTCTATTTACACCTAGAAGTTTAATTTTTTGAATATAAAAGGTCTGTTTGATAAAATGAGATAGGTGCATAACATTTGAAACCAATCCGACTTGAACTTTTCATGTGACCTTTTGCCTGAATATTGGCAAATCCAATTGTTATTTGCTACAAGGTTTGGAGGGTTCGGATACTGGTCTAGCATCAGTGTTAGAGTCCCTGGAGTTCTGTCTGAATCTACGTGGTTCTGAGGCTAGTGTTCTAGAAGACTTGGCAAAGGCAATCAACATGGTCCACATAAGACAGGATCTTGTTGAAAGTGGTCATGCACTTTTGAACCATGCATATCGAGCTCAACAAGATTATGAAAGGTAGAGTTAAAAAATTGCTAGTTGATTTTTATGGAAATTTGAATATTTGATGAAGTCACATTTCTTGATGATTAAATACTCTTGCATTCTCTAGTTTCCTAAACTCCAATCTGGGACTATTCAGTTAATTCCCCCCCCCCCCCCCCCCCCCCTTCTCATTGTCTGAAACATTATGCATGCAGGACAACAAACTATTGTTTGAGTTTAGCTTCCGAGCAGGAGAAGATTGTCAAGGAGAAGTGGCTTCCTGAGCTTAAAGCTGCTAGTTTGGAGGCTCAAAAGTGTCTGGAAGATTGCAAATACGTTAGAGGTTTGGTGAGTAATTATCTCGATTGTGTGACTTCATGAACTCCCTGTATCTGATCTTTGCTCTGTTTTCTGTCATTCGTAGGATCTGCATGGCTTGAGAAGCATTCATAGTTTTTTTTTTCTTTCTCTGGGATGCCATTGCAACTTCCTAAACTAGGCTTCTGTGTGTAGCGTGTGTAATTGATCATTCAAAAATCCAGAGACTCTCAGTTGCATAATAAAATCGTGAAATTCTCACATAAGCAAGGGGAACTTCAATTTCGAAAAGGCTTAGTTCTAAAACTGTAGACCATCTGCTTGTATTTTAGTAAAACTAGCTTCCCAGCCCAATTTGCTGCCAAAGTGAAAGGAGCCACCAGCCCACTGCCTTACTTCCGAACTGTCCTCTTCTAACATGTTAAATTTCATGAATTATTTCTTCTCTGTATAAGTTTAATTCTGCGAAAACTTAACACCTGACATTGCAATGCAGCTTGACGAGTGGTGGGAACAACCAGCATCCACAGTCGTTGATTGGGTTGCTGTTGATGGAAAAAACGTCGCTAGTTGGATTAATCACGTCAAGCAACTTCTTACGCTATCATGATAAGGAGTGCTCTTCGTGAATAAGTAGCTTGACAGAACAGCATCGTCAACTGTTACATACCTTCTCTGTGCTTGTGCTTGGTGAGGCGCCTCAGGTTTTGTTTCTTACCACTTTACTGTCCATAAGGAGATTTTTTTGAAGGGTCGACTGTTGCAACAGATAATAGGTGACTGGTATTTTCTTGAATGTTCTTGCCACCGAGTCGAAGTCCTTTTTACCGAGTTTCTACAAGTGTTGTGGTTTCCCTAACCAACTTTGACTACATTACTGCTCTGTATAGGATGGTACTTGTTTGGTCAAGATGATGTGTATAATCTAAACTTGGGCAAACAGCTCTCTGGTGTGTTATGAATGAGTTCTTGACGGTTAATTTGACACATGTTTTGATGAGTGCCTTGGCAACTTAGCACTTTCCATTTGGATTCCAATATTTAGCCTGGTATATTAACTATCAAGAGTATGTTTTTCCGTATACATGTTCAGAGCAGTTATACATCGTAAACCCTACGATTCAGCAGCGACCTTGCCCATCTCTCATATGATCATAGCTCCCAATGTACATTCATTCAATACAACAAGACTGCCATCCCAAACTAAAACAGAAGCTATTAATTTGATGACTACGATTTACCGGCATCAAGGCTTCTTGTCCATATGCAACAATGTGCCGCCACAGCCTTCAGCAGACACCGGGAGAGGGTTAACCACAGCTCCAAGGAACAGCAGAATCCCTGACTTTTCCTCCAAGATAGTGAACATGAAAGCATGGTCAGTCACAAAGCTAGGGGGGATTCCTCCTCCCACACTGCCTTATAAATCTCGGCGCAGTGCTTGCTGCAGCTTCCGTCCCTTCCTCGTTCACTTCGACAAATGCTTTGTGAAACATCTTCGACAGTGATAGCTTATCCCCTGCTGCTCCACAGTTCACCATCTCCGTTAGCTCCCCTCCATTGAAACCCATCCCCAGTTCCTCCGGGGCCTCCTTAGCTTCCACCTCGAATGAAAACTTGAACCTAGGGATCCAAAACTGAGGCAAATTTTCCAGCTTCAGCCGATCAGAGTAGTCGCTCAACATCGCAGGGTTGGTTCTGATTTTGTACATGTATATGTTGCTTGATAAACAAGGTATCAAGTTGAGACAATTCACCTTGCAGATGAAGTCGACTTGTTTGACAGTGGCACAGTAAACTTGCTTGGCAAGTTCTTCAAATGAAGGCTTGAGCTTGAACCTTCGATCCACCCAAGCACTGTTAACGAACGAGACGATCGGGCCACTGGTGGAGACGACATCTCCTCTCTCGTTGTTCACCGTCGATGATAGCGTCGGCAGCACTGTCCTAGATGCCATAGACGAACTGGCTTCTTCCAAGCTTTTGTATCCCAGAATCTGGAGCAACTGTTCCAGTGCAGACCCTTTGGCCCCGGCAGTGATCAGGCAGAGCATGGAGTGGAATGAGAAAGGGGAGAAGACAAAGTTTGAACCTTTGCTGCAGGTTTCTTTGACCATTAATGTTGCAGCTACTACAACTACTGATGTTTTCATCTGTTGCTTGCTGCTGCGCCATGATTGCATGTTGTCTTCCTACTTGCTATGTTAATTGGGAGAAGACGAACGTTTGTTGCCTGAGTTGATAATGTAGAACAAGAATGGTGGTAATATAGGGGCATCGATGGTTTCAATGTAACATAGGCCTGATGAAGGATATATTCGTGGCATTTGCAGCAAATTATAACAATCTATTGGGAGTTTGGGACATAGAGACAGGCATGAGAGAACAATTCAATCAGACAAAAGGCTGGTCAGGTAATTCTTGTAGATTATTGATAAAAATAGGCAGAGGATATTACCATAAGTCAAAGAACAACGCGTTTTTCATGTCGAATTTGGTTTATATCGGGTATGAATTTTTGGTTCAGGTAGTTGAATGTAGGGGTGGCAGTCGGTCGGTTTTGGTTTAACCGAAAATCGAAAACCCGGTTATCGGTTAAACCGAGTCATCCCCCCTAGCTATCGACCACCGACCGTGAGATTGGTCACGGTTAGCCGGCCAACCGGAAAACAACCTTTTCTAAAAAAAAATTAAAAAAAAAAAATTTATGCACCACTCACTCCTAACCCCATCTCACTTCTCGATTCTTCTTTCCTTTCCACTTTCTAGAGAAATCCACCTCTCTCCCTACTCTCTCTCTCTTCTTCTTCTTCCTCACTCTCTCTCGTCCTCTCATCTTCTTCTCCAGGAAAATACGAACCAGAAAAGCAAAAACGAAAAGAAGAAAAACGAAACAAAACCTAGCTCTCTCCCTCTCTCAAATCGCCTCCACTCTTGTTCTTCTTCTCTCAAAAATCGATCTCCAGCCTCCCAACTTCGACAATTGAACAAAAATCTAATCCTAATTACGAATCCCCTTCTCACTTTCGTCTCTCTCTCTCGCGATCTGCTTCTCCCCGCGCCTCCTACTCCATTTCTCGATCTGTCCTTTCCAGAGAAACCCGCCTCCTCCCTACTCTCTCTCTCTTCTTCTTCTTCCTTTCCAGAGGAACTCGGCCTCACTCTCTCTCTCCCTCTCTCTGCTCTTTCTCACTCTCCCTCGTCTTACCCAGAAGCGGCGGCGACGACGGATGAAGCTGCGGCGGCGGCGACGGATGAAACTGGCGGTGATTACGATGACGAACGGTAGGCGACGGTAGAAGAAGGTGAGATCAAGTTCTCTCACTTGCATGTCGAATTTTGAGGGTTTGATTTTGGTTTTTGTTTTTGATCTGTGTTATTTCTTTTGGGTTTTGTTCGCGGGTGAGAGGAGAAGAAGAGGTCACCGCCATCGAAGCTGCTGCTGCCTGCTGGTGGGTGGAGGCTGCGCGAGAAGGGAGAGGCTGCAAGGAGTGGTGGATTTCGCTGGGGAGTCGGAGGTTGTGGAGAAGAGGATGGCGGCGGAAACAAGAATCGGCAGCGAGTGTAGATCTGCTGCTTCTTCTTTTTTTTTTGTCGAGATCAGTGGCGTAGCCAGGATTTTGGGTAAGGGGGTGCCAATTTAAAAAATTTAAAATGACTATCAATTTTTTATAGTGACCCACGACGGGTTCTCATATTTTGAAAAGTCTGTAAAATACATTCATCATCAAGACTATCAAGAAGCTCGCTTGTTAGGGTTAAATTTTCGTTTACTTCTTGAATAAGCATATGTAATTATGAGATTTTTTCATTTAATTTACTTATTATTTGTAAACGGTAAATTATATATATGCAATAAAACGTATTAGTGTATCACGTAAGTAATTGTGGTTTAGTGGAAGATGTCAAAGCTAGTAGCAAGGGGGTTCCATGTTCAAATGCTAGCTACAGCATAAACTAATACCCCTATTTTTTCATGTTCTAGCCCCGATCCAAGGGTGTGTCGTGGAACACCCTTCTAATACTGTGTCTCCGCCCCTGGTCGAGATCTGCTGCTGCTTCTTCTTCTTCCTGTATTTGGGAATTTTTTTTTTGTTTAAGATTTGGGAATGGGATGAATCTGGACATATTTTGGGAAGGTGAAGTGGGTCTCGGTTGGCCCGGTTAGTCGGATAACCGCGGTTAATTACCGTCGGTTACTCGGTCAACCGACCCCTTCTTTTTCCCATCCGACCACCGACCGTCAAGGTAACCGGTCGGTTTTTGGTTAGCTGGTAACCGGCAGTTTTCGGTTAAAACCGACGGTTACCCGCTAACCGCAAACCGAAATACCAGCCCTAGTTGAATGGACAGAATTGTAGGTCTCGTTTAGAGAGCACATGAATAGATGCAATGACTTGTTATGAATTTAGAGGGTGGTTTGTAAAATAGAATCGGTCCACCTTTTTATAATGTCATGAATCACATGTAGTTAAATACATTGTTTAGAGTTTATATCCTTCAAAATGTGAGAGTTTTTCGTTGCAGAATCTCTACTTTGGAACAAATTACATTCTGTAGCACAACTTCAAATCATACCGATTTATTTGAAACCTGCCGATATGACAACTGATCACAAACACACATGTTTATTTATAGCTTACAGAACTGAATGCATAATACGAATAATGCTTACTACTTGATAAGGAAACAGGATGAACTTTACACAGCTAATTCAAGGATCAATGGTGGAGGGAGATCTCGACTTGGATTTCTGAGCGGCATCAGCTGCAGGAGGGATTCCAGGAAACCCAGGCGGCAGAGGAAACAAAGGAGGCGGGAAAGGGAACGGCAAGACCGGCGGCGGCGAAGGGGTTAGCCCTGGGATCGGAGGAATGGGAAGGAACGGCGCCGGCGGAGGCTGAAGTGGGTTCGGAGGAAGAATCGGCGGCACCAATGACGGCGGCTCCAACGGGTTCGGCGGCAGAGGAAGCGACGGGGGAGACGGCGGCTGCAGCGGATTTGGCGGCAAAATTGGGGGAAACAGAAACCCTTGCGGCTGACCAGGGCGCCCCGACTTCTGATCCGACAATTCATCCCCTTCCCTTTCCCCTTCTCCCTGCCTCAGGGATGGCTTCTCGTGCTTGTTGAAGCTCTTCCCCGGCCACGGCGGAAGGTACGGCAGCCGCGGCAGAGTAGGGAGCGGAGGTAGCGGCGGCAGGGAAGGAAGCCGCGGGAGCAGGGGAAGCGGCGGGAGCCGGTTCTGATTCATCTCCGGCGGAGGTACCCCGCCGTTAGGGTTTGTATTCACCGGCGGTGGAAGCGTGGGTTCGTCATCGTCGTTGCCGCCGCCGCCTGGAGACGGCAGCAACGGGAACCCAGATAAGTCCTTTTGTTCGTTGCTCCCGGCGGCTGCGGTGGTGGTCGGATTCTGCGAACAGAGTGTAGGCTGGTGGGATGGCTTGAAAGTGAAGTAACCGGCGGAGTAGATATGAGAATGAGACCCTAGCTTGCTGTTCCTCGACTTCAGGTGGAGTGATGATGACGTGGCGGTGGATGCCACGGCGCAGTAAGGGTCGCTGCTGGTCAGTAGCTTCACTGAACATCTCTTGATCTTCTTCACCTCTCTGTTTACAGTGAATGGAAGCTCGACGCTGAATTCTCCCAGCTGGTTCGTCTTCACTTGGCGTCTGAACCTCCCGTCTCTGCATTCGACTACAACTGATGCGCCTGAAAATGGTGCAAGAGAATTAGTTACAGCTTCCGCTAAAGGCCTGTAGTCAGAAGAAGAAAAAAAGGAGGAAACTTTAATTACCTGAGATGAAATGAGTGGGCTTTGAGAAGCGGTTGTTGAAGCAAGTGTCGCAGTAGACAGTGCCGACGACTACTGCCTTTGTGGGTTTTTGGGGGAAATCCCTGGCTTCTGATGTATGACTGAAGGTAGTGAATGTGAGGGTAAGGAAGAAGAAGAGTGATGTGATTAGCCTGGAGGCCATTTTTGCAGCCATTATGGAGGTAGAATGATTAAGGGTTTGTTATATATGGTGGAGGATTAGGTGTTTTGGGGAGCTCATGGGTTTGGCGCCTGGTTTTTGGGGTTGCAGGTGAGAGTTTGGAGTCCTAACTTTGGAGGGTTTATATAGTGGTTTCTGAGTAGGGAATGCCATTGATGTGATTCATGGGGAAAAACCAGTCATCTACAAATACCAGCAGCTGCAAGTGAGGCCAATAATGATTTCCTACTTCCCTCCACAAGGTGAAAAAATTATATGGTTGGATGGATGGAAAATATGACAATTCGCGGCGGCTAAGATGTACAAGTCTCTTGCTTTGTGTACATTCAGAACGTATATGAACCGCGTTCGATTGCGAGTCTCACACCAACGTGTGTATATGGCGAGGGGCGTCTGTCCGAAATGGGAGACGTATGATAATATTCTATTTCTGTTGAGATGGTAGTAGTACAGTACCAAACATTGATTGGGGAGAATTGGTTAATATAATTCCCCTATGCTGTTGAGAATACGTACAAAGTGAAATGGATGTGGTTGGGACCGGGTGCTGGTTCACGAGAAGATTAGATAGGCCACAAATATCATGTGTGCTGCTGCTGGTAAAAAGCCAAGCCCAGCTGCCTCTCTCTCTCGGCATACTTGTGTTGTGTAGCTAGCTAGCTTCGCTGGTTACTGTGTGTGTTGTCCATGTGTTTGTTGAACTCTGGGTTTCATATCTTGGACAAGCTGAACTTGTTTGTTTGAAGTTGAGGTTTTCAAGATAGAATCACTTCTCATGTTTCCAAGACAATCGATCACGCTAATTTTGGTGTGGAATATGTATGACAGTATGGATTGGAAATCCAAACTGCTGCAGATCAGTTCATAGATAGATGGCAATGTGGCAGGGTGGACGAAACCATAGCTTCAATACCCATCTATCGGTTTCATTTCTACGACAAGAGGCAGATCAGATAAGATTGTGTCGATTCATTTGCGATGCAGATGGATTTGTTTTTGCCGGGATGGTATGAGGATTAAGGGGCGGCAGGCCAGTGTTTGTGACGGGTTGAGATGGAATTCTGTCAGTTCTTTCTGAATCTACTCAAACTCAACTGGTCACGGGTGAGTTGAAAAAGAATGTCCATGTCGCTGTACCAATTACATCACCACAACCCCTTCACGGGCTAATGTTAGCTAATTGAACCATTCGATAACAGTTGTCATTATACACTTCTGCATCTTGACGCAAATGGTCGATTCTAAACTGAAAACGACCTGGATTTGGATTTTCTCAGATGCCTTGTTTTTCCTAAGCTGGCTGTACAATATTTTATTTGCAAACTTGCATAGGAAGGTCCAATTACTTACCTTAAGAGAAGGGGGGAAATCCTTCTCCCATCATCTGCTAATTTTTCCTTTGGAACCAAACAATGGAGATCAACATGGAGCATCAATTGAGCCCGCGCATCACCAAATTCAACATCAACCCTTGTTCAATCCTCGTCGGACTCCACGTGTTGATGATCAAACTAGCAGCAAAGAATGGAGAAAGATCGTGTAGGAAACCTATTTTTAGGGTTCCAACGATTGTGTTGGGAAATTGGGAATTGGTAGAGATTTAGGGATTTAGAAGAGAATTAGGGATTAGGAACAGAATTGGGGAAGAACGAGGAAGAATGGCCGGCGGCCAGATTAGGGAAAGAACAGAAATTGAGAGGATTTGGGAGAGAATAGGGTTTAGGGATTTTCTTAATACGCTTCTTATTCATTACTAATGAATCACAAAGTACATATTTATATAGGAAATACCGGAAAACCCTAATAATAAACCTAATTCTATTAAATGACTACTAACCATAATAATAATTATCCTAATAATGATAATAATAATAATATAGAAAAATCGTGTTTCTAACATCTCCTCCCCCTTCAGACCAACCTTGCCCTCAAGGTTGATCAGCTTGATCCACTTCCACGCTTTTCTCGTGCAATTCGCGCTTTGTCTTTTTCTTTTCTTCCAATCTGGTACGAGTACTCGCACTGTCCTTTTCGCGACGGCCCTCACAGGCTGCTCAAGAGCTGTCAATCTCTCCTTCAAGGGCACACCTTCTGCTTCCCTCGGCTCGTCCCCCTTCCCGAAGGACTTCTTTGCTAACCCGCTAGACCATTCTTCAAATTCCCTAGCCTCATATGAAGGTGGCTCATGGTGGTCCATTGTCGGTCCGAATCCTCCAAGAAGGTATTGCACCTCTCCTCCTTGACACACTTGCGAGCCTTCATTGCTTGGCTTATTGCTGAATTCTTTTCCAGCCCAGGCAGGTATAAGTTGCGTCCCAATCTTCTGGTCCTCATCGCCTAATGATTCCAACCCAACTCCATACAAAAGAGCCCAAGTCAGACTGCTCATGTAAGGCCCAAGAATTGGCCCATGGGAACCCAAACCTTGCTTAATCCTAGGCCTGCTATGCTGACTTTTCTGACCAAGAACCAACCCATCAAATCCCTTCTCACAGCCCATTCCTGAGTCCAAGTTTATTTTTTTCTTTCTCCACCCCATGACCCATTATTCTCGGCCCCTCCAAAGATGCATCCACATCCGCTCGGCCCAATCGAAATGGTTGCTGCTGTTGTGCTCCTCTACTGCTTCTAGGGTTTGCGAGAAGAAAGCTCCCGCCGCCTTCCTTCTCCGTCTCTCTCTCCAGCGCCACCATCTCCGGCGGTGAGCTCTTCTCCAGTCGGCCAGGGCCAAGCCCGACTCCGACTCTTCGACAGCCGCCGTCACTCCTCCTCACCACCCCTTCCTCCTGCCATGGCCTAACCACCAGGCGAATGGGTGGAGATCCCAGCGCCGCCGTGCTTGTCTTCTTCTCCGGCGATGGGCCTTCCCGCGACCTTCGTGACAAGCAGACCGCCCGGCGGCTAAGGCCCACGCCGTGTTCCGACCACGCCATCTTCGCCCTATTCACCGTCGACGAGATCTTGCTGGTAGATCGCCTCGATCCGGCGTCGCGCCTCCCCGACCCCATCACGTCATCGACCTTCGGCTCACTCAAGGAAGGGAAGTGGCTGCCGCCTTTCTTCTTCATCAACACCAGCCCTGCCTTAATCTTCGGAGACAATTCCTCCATCCGGCGGCTAGGAACCCAGCCCGACTTCGAGCTCGCCTCCTCTCTGGTCGAGGCCTCCGCGTTGATCTCCAACCCAGCATCATCCTGTGTCTCCTTGAGAGCGCCCTCTTCCTTCTCCTCAACATCGCGCGAGTCCATCCCCTCTGTTCTCCAGCCAGACCTCGCCGTAAGAGAAACCGCCGAGAATGGTGACTCTCGCGTGATTCGCTTTTTCGGCGGCTCAATTCTCAGTCCCGACGACAAACGGCGCTTCAGGCGACGAAAAATCAAATTCGACGCCTCAATCATTGACCTTGATAGCTCCAACAGGTGGGTAGAGGACGACGGCGGAATCGCCGAGCGCATCTCCGGCGACACACCCCAGTCTCCCGTAGGTGCCTCTTCCCTGTCTCGTTTTTTTATTCCGCCGTGGAGCCACCTCCCTCGCACATCCTGATGTGTTTGGCCAGTATCGCGCTCCTCTTTGTCGGACTCTCGCTTCTTCCTGAACTCCCACAGAGGAGCTCTCTCTCGCCACGACATGCCCTGGTTAGCCATATGATTCTTGGACGTCAAGGTTGATTGTGGCTTTGGTGTCACGAACGATGTCGGAATCGTGGCGACGATGCCAACCTCATCTACAGCAGCCATGGGCGGCGTGACTTGTACCATAGCAGCAGTCGCAGGGGATGCTGTGGATGCTCCCGGGGTCACTCTCTCTTGGATCGCGGAGGGTAACGCGACCGATTCTGAGTCGGTTAGCGGTTCCTCCTTGGTGACGCCGCTCGCCGCCTCTTCTATCATCGGCGGCAGCTCGCTCTTTGCCTGCACGCTAGGGTCGCCTGCCATCTCCTTCAGCGGTGGTAGATCGCTTGCTGCCTTTTCTTCTGCTCCTTCTTCCACGTCCGGTTGCTCTTCTGCGGTGGTGGCATTCCCAGTCGGCAGCTCCTCGGAGCTCCAACGACGGCCGATGCGGTGAGCCCGGTCACGCAGCTCTGCCCACGACAGGTTCGAGAGCTTTGAAGAGCTCATCGTCGAACCAGTTGTAGAACTCGTCCCCGGATGAGAGTTGTGGTGAACTCAATTCTCGAACCGGGCTCTGATACCAGATGTAGGAAACCTATTTTTAGGGTTCCAACGATTGTGTTGGGAAATTGGGAATTGGTAGAGATTTAGGGATTTAGAAGAGAATTAGGGATTAGGAACAGAATTGGGGAAGAACGAGGAAGAATGGCCGGCGGCCAGATTAGGGAAAGAACAGAAATTGAGAGGATTTGGGAGAGAATAGGGTTTAGGGATTTTCTTAATACGCTTCTTATTCATTACTAATGAATCACAAAGTACATATTTATATAGGAAATACCGGAAAACCCTAATAATAAACCTAATTCTATTAAATGACTACTAACCATAATAAGAATTATCCTAATAATGATAATAATAATAATATAGAAAAATCGTGTTTCTAACAGATCGAACTTCGCTTTCTCCCCACTTTCGTTTCACTCCATGATAAGCCTCATTGCTCTGGGATCCGAAGGCCGAACTCTCAAACAGATGCTCTGCTTCATGGGGATCGATGGTGTTGATGAACTCAAATTCTTGGCTTCCCATCTTGTTTCCTCAGTACTGCTACCTCCTGGAAATGACAACAACGATGACACCGGTCATGGCCCGATCATATCGTTTGTGAATAGCGCTTGGCTGGATCATCGTTTCAAGTTGAAAGCTCCATTTGAGCAAACTGTGAGAAGTGTCTATCGTGCCACGGCAAAAGCAGTTGACTTTCTCGACAAGGTAACGGACTTGTAGGTTCTAAGTTCTTACCATGTACATATATTGATGGAAGAGGTTCTATTCACACCTTTGTGCGCTGTGTTCCTCTGTTTCACGATGGCTTAGGCCGATCAAGCAAGAGAAGAGATCAACACATGGGCAGAGAAAGAAAGCAGATCACTAGTCAGAAACCTCCTTACCACCGAATGGTATAGACGAAGAGACGGTTCTGGTTCTCACAAACGCACTCTAATTCAAAGGAACATGGAGCATCCCATTCGACATTTCCAAGACACATCACAGAGACTTCCACACCCTAACCGGCGACACCATCCAAGTCCCTTTCATGACCACCGACGCGAACCAGAAACACCTCTACGCGTACACAAACGACCATCAGGTGCTGAAGATGCCATACCAGACCGGACCAGACCATGACACCCGCTGATTCTCCATGTGCTTCTTCCTGCCCAACGCCAGAGACGGGCTGGCTGGTTTGTTGGATCGGATCAGAGCAGAACCCGTGATGATGAACCCACAAGTGGCAGAGAGGGTCGTTTCGCCTGTTTGGATCCCGCGGTTCAAGTTCGAGTTTGAGTTTGAGGCTTCGAGTAGTATGATGGAGCTTGAATTGGTACTGCCCTTCAATGATATGTATGGGTTGAACGGAATGGTGGAGATAGCGGATGAACCAGTTGTCCTGTCGAAGGTGTTTCAGAAGGTGTTTCACAAGACGGTGATTGAAGTGAATGAGGAAGGAGCTGAAGCTGCAGGTTGTAGTGCAGGGAGGATTAGAGGACTTCGTTGTAGGTCAGCGGCTCCTCCCAGCTTTGTTGCTGATCATCCTTTCGTGTTCACGATTGTGGAGGAGAATTCTGGTTCGGTTTTGTTTCTTGGAGCTCTGCTCAATCCTCTGTTAGTTGAGAAAGCCTAGCAGTAGCAAAGGGCATATTCTCTTCTTTTCTTCCAAACATGTGCTGGAAAATGCTAGTGAGCTATGAAGTTTTAATCTTTATTGAACAAATGTCATCTGTGAAACCAAAAGTGTCATTACAACAAGCTGCTTTATTTACAAAGAGGACTTCACAATCGAAACTCAAACGTTTGGACCTCTCACAATTTATGTCTATGGGTAAAGAAGGAAGAAAAGTTGCTATAGATCCATTCACACGAACAAATGAACTAGAGTTTACACACAGATTTCACAAGATTCCAAGGTTACATTTTACAACTTGGCCAAGCAAACATAAACCAAGCAAGCAAGCAAGAGAGGACTGACTAGTCACTAGTCTGCTGCTGTAAACTGGTAAGAGGAATAGGAAAGAGTGCCATGAGTCCAGCTCTGATGGATAAGCTTGGCCTTGGAGTTGTCACCAGCAGCGCCCATTGCAACATGAAGAGGAAAGAAGTGGTCTGGCCATGGATGAGCCTTCTTCCCGTGTGGTGCTTTAACCTCGTAGTGATTCACATCTTCATATCTGCAATACACACAATGAATATGGAAGTTCAAACACATTCCATCAAGAAAGTGCAGCAAACGACTGTCGAAGTTCAATCGCTGTTCTGGATTTTACCTTCCTTCGACGAGGGAGTCCTTAAGCCAAGTATCAAACTGTTCAGCCCAGGGAGTAACGGGGCCACCTGCACGGTCCATAGCTCTCAAATTGTGAGTAGCAGAACCAGAGCCAATGATGAGCACCCCTTCCTGTCTCAATGGAGCCAAGGCCTTGCCCATGTTGTAGTGATACGTTCCGTCTCTGTCAGACTGAACAGATAATTGACACACTGGAATATCAGCCTCTGGATACATGAGCATCAATGGCACCCAAGCTCCATGATCCACTCCTCTTTTCTTGTCTTCCACTACTTCATCAAACCCAGATCCCATCAGCAGCTCCTTTACCCTCTTTGCCAATCTGGGTGCTCCTGGTGGCGTGTACCTCAGCTGGTAATCCAACATCCAAAAGCCATGTTTTACATTATCAGAATCAAATTGACAGAAATTTCAAAGCTTTTACCATTTTCTTGCCGAGTATAAGCAAACTTCTATCCAGGTTCATAATGATTCAGAACCTTCATTTCAAAGACTAACTGGTTAAGCTTAAACTACGGCAAGACTCAGTTCATCACAATGAAATGGAATTGATGCCAGAAAACCCATCAAAATCCAAACACAGAACCTCCACATCAAAAGCCCCTAATCTGCACTGCACCCTCAGAGACCCCACTCTTAACTCTTAAGCATAAGATTGGACACAATTGCTAAGGATTTCTCATTGATCACAGGCTAATTCTCTGTGACGAGGGATCAAAGGGATTGCAAGAGAGAGAGAGAAAAGGGGATAGTTACCTGATACATCTGTTTGGGAAAGCCATAGAAGTCGTGAATGGTGTCGTTGCGATCAACGACGTTGACCGAAGGGAGCTTGGTGTCCCAGTGGCCGGAGATGACGAGGATCGCCTTGGGCTTCTCCTTTTGGTACACCTTCTGCTCCCAGGATTTCAAGAAATGCCTGGCCGGCAGAGAGTCGTCTATGGACAGCGTCGGGGAGCCGTGCGATATGAAGAATGTCTCGGCTATTGCCATTGCTTATTCTCTCTTTGGTGGGTTTTCAGATGCCAAGCTCTGCAAGATGATGATGGTATCAATTGAGTAGAGGGAAGATCGAAGGCTGGTTCTGTCAACACGATCTCCCGTCGATGAAATTTATTTATAGGAGAGGAGATGGGAACGAGGAAGCTGGCCGCGGCCGGTTTGACTTGGATTCACCGTAAGAGTCAGCATTCAGCAACGTCATCCCTGACTACGCCGGTGAAATTGTTGTATTTGTTTATTGCTTTGCTTAATCATGGCTCCTCCGCGTTTGATCGGAAACCCAACAAAAAAAAAAAACTTTCTTTTTTGCTTCTACGCGTGGTTCGCGGGTTCCCAATTTTGGGATTCTCCCATATTTAGCGTCGACATTCAGTCGACGGTGACCGGTGGCGACTGCCCGACTAACGATGGAGTGGTAGGTAAACCGGATTTTCTGTTTAATGGTGTTGGGCTAGAAGAGAATGCAAAGAGACTAGTTGGGCTTCAATATGGCCCATCAACTCTGCAGGCCATAAGTCCATTCGATTTGTAAGAAAAAAGGAAACGTGTGAATGGTTGTCCTATTCGACTTTCTCAAGTTCAATTTCAACGCAGTTATTCACTAAGATGCTCGTATTTACTCTAGTTTGGTTATCCAATCTTCAGATGGGCACTTTTGTCTAGCCTCGGCACATCACCAAGGTATTTTGGACAAGTACTTAGCTGAGCTCCTAGCGGCCCGTGATACATTTCTATCTCGTGATCAACCACACAAATTTCCAAGGTGATTAGAGAAGGTGACTTTGAGGTCTTTCATTCACCAGCTTCAGCAGAGGGGTGCATTCAGATCCAAGGGTGGTTCGATTCTTCGTTATTGTCTTTAGTTGTCTTCCTCCTTCTGTAGAATTACATTTCAGGGCTGTTCCACGAATTGTCTCGAGCCAAATTATAAACATTTATACCCATCTCTCTTTGTCGTTTGACTTGTGTTGGAACATCCTTGGAGCCATTTTACGCTAATTTTTTTGCATGTTTGAGTATGTTTCAGGTTCTAGCAAGTGAAATTGGCGAGATGAATGAAAGTCTCACAAAAGGGAGTCAAAACATGACAAAATGGTGAGAAGTGTCAAAACTCATGATTCATAGCATTTCATCATGGCGAAGGTGTGACATTTCCAACAAAACTATGAACTTCGCAAAAGACCCAGGAGGAACAGGATGGCTCACGGGAGGTTGCAAACCTCACGGTCTTAGGACGTGAGGATTTCACCTAGACCGTGAACTTCGTTATTGAAACAACATGCATCTAGTCACCTCACAGTTTTGATGCAAAATTCATGCAAAAATCATATTTGGGAGAGAGTTGGTTTTTTATAGAGAAATTAGAGTTCCTTGCATCCTGGATAGAGTGATGAACGTAGAGAGTTTGGAGGAGATTTGAAGCTTTCCACCACCATTGGAGGATTGATTTCACTACAAAGAGCATCAAGAACAACAAGAAGCATGATCTTCTTGATGACTGTCTTCTCCATTTTGATTGTTTTTCTCACTCCAGCTATGAAGTTTTCCTTCAATTCAATTTGGTGTTGTAGAACCCTAGTTAATATATTGTAATTGATTGTTTTTTAACCTATGTGTTGACTTGCATCTTGATTATATATTGAGTTGGGTATTATTCATGAAAATTGGATGTTCTTGATAATTTCCCTCGATTTGGAGCTAATTGAACTAGGTGAAAGTATCTCGTTATAGTTGGTTTAGAGCATTGCCTATTATAAACTTGGGTTCCATGAACGAGTGTGATTCGATCTTTTGTGTCGTATAGGGTTTTATCCAATTGTGAAAGTAGTTGTGGTTGCCTCAATTACCTAGGTCGGTGTAGGTACACCTCTCTGGGTAGTGTAATTGAATGGGATAAGATTAATCGAACGTGAGTCCTATCTAGATTAGAGCTCGCCACAGTATATGCTAGTGTGGATCGAATTGGGGTGTCGCAACGTTAATTTAACGTAGAATAGAGGGAAACACATTCACGCGAAGCTTTTCTCAATTGTATTTAATTTCATTTACTTTCGTGCTTGTTTAGTTTTAGTAGTTGAAACAATAATTAGATTGCTAGATAACGTGTAGTTCATTGAAGTAAGGATATAGCAGCCGACTGAGTTGATATTCAAACTACTTACTCTATACTACACCGAATTAGAGGTTGCACTTAACATTTGATCGGGATAGTTGTAGTTACGCACGAGTCCAGAGTTAGCTTCTTTCGACTTTGTACATGGACTTCTATAACTTTCTGTTAAGGATGCAACTATTCAAGGGAGTTCAGGGTTGTTCATTGTTTGACTAATTTCTATTTTCATTTCTATAGATGGTAAAAAGTTTGGGGTTGTTAATATGGAGAGTTGATACACCAATTTAGTCGAAAATTTCGATGATTTGTAATTATTCCAAAAGTTGGTACATTGCATTAAGAAACAAAGGGGTCGTTTGGAAGTTGCGATTGTTAAATAGATGTATTGTTGAGAATGCATGTATAATATTATACATGTATTGTCGAATTTGATGCATTATAGAATACAACGTTTGGTATGTGTGATTGTGTATGTCGCATCAGCTAAAAGCTGAGACAAAACAATCTCAACTCAACTATCTCAACAATCACAACTAAAAGTTGAGATATAACAATCACTCAAAATGAGTGATAGTTTCTGTCACATCACAGAAACAATCCATGTATTGTTTCTGCTAAAAAACAAAAAAAAAACAATGCATTGTAAACAATACATGCATAATGACAATCTCAACAAAACTATCGCAACTTCCAAACAAGTTGAGTGATTTATTTGTCACGACCCTAAATTTGGTGCATGTCAGTTGCAATTGTCCCAAATTGCTCCGAATCACTTTTCTCGTCTCCCCCTCACCGCCTTCCTAACTGATGAGTCATGAGTGTGTGTCTAACTGGGCAGAATTTTCCAAGCAGCCTATATCTCCGACGCAAGGAATTCATGATGTTCTGATCCCAAAATTCCTCAATCCTTGCTTTCGCCTGGCCGATAATGGAAGGCCACTTGACCAAACTCCATCGATGTCTCTTCGAATCCAGCAGCTCGTCCTCCGAGTTCCTGCACTCCCTCCGCTCGGACACTTCCATCGCCATCGCCCTCCAGCACTTCTACTTGACTCTCAAGCGGGGTGTCTCCGTCGTCGTCGAAGAAGAAGCGCACGATGATGGCGAGAGGTTCGAGGATAAGAAGTTAGGGTTCCAGTTATGGACCGATTCACAGATTCAGTCCGTCGTCTCGTTCGGCCTCGCGATCGTCTCTGCTTCTAGATCTTTTTCAGGTACTTTCCCCCCCCCCCCTGTTTGAAGACAGGAAGTACTTGCTTTCAAGTTCAAGGAGTTTGTCGTTCTTGCATGGAGGCTTTTGGTTGTTCTGGCTAGGCTAAGAAAGCACTGCCAATTTTGTGTTTGAGCTCCCCAAGTAGTTAACTAGTTACTGATTGGTGTTGTTTCTTCAATTCTTGGTGGTGATCGCGTGGATAGTTAACCAGGCAGAGCCAGTAGTGATCGCTGTTGTGCAACAATTGTTGGAGTTCGCCGTTTGTTACTTGGAGAAATCAGAATTCTGCAATGACGAATCAAGTATACAGGTTGGTGGTTTTCATTTTGGTTCTTCTATTCTTTCTCGGTTTCTTGATTCCCTACTTTGCGACGCTATAGCTATTCTTTAGGAAGCCTTGAATTGAGAGCATTGGCCGAATATAATCAGTGGCTAATTCGATATAATATTTCCGTTTCCGACTGGTGCATTGAGACTTGGTGCGTAGGCTAGTTGAAAGCGCTTCTAAAGTGCACATTTGCAAGCATGACTGAGACCAGGGAATCTGTAACGAATTTTACTGTTGAGCTGCATAAAATTTTAGTTCTTCAGAATTCTATAAACTGGGGACCGTCATTTGAATCAAGTTTATAGATGTCAAATGCATGCCCGATTTCTGCTTTCGTACATTGATGAAAATGTTTTCTGTGTTTTTTTGTGCTGTAAAATTTATTAGAATATAGGATTAGCAGCCTTTATCAAACACATTTAAAACTTCATATATTATTAAATACTTGTATATTTAAGAGCAGATAGTGTTAGGCCTTTAGATATGTTATCTGTATCTTAAATATATTGCAGACAATTTGTTTGCCACCATTTCTACTTGCACAGTAGGTTTTGGTGCTTTGGACTGCTTAGCATTAGAAGATAATACTTTGCAGTCAGTTGAAGATGCAGGGTAACTGTAATGCTATCATGGCATTCAGTTGAAAGCGCAATGTACAGCCATTTGTTAACTCTAAAATGGATGAAAGTGTTAACCCATTTTGTTTATTTCTCTCCTCTTCATGGTGACTGCTATGTCTTGCTCCTAGTTGTCACTAAAATTTGGGCTTTTGAGATATTTTTTGTAGACAATCCTCTAAGTATATTAATGTTTATACTTCGTAGAGTGGTTGATTGTGTCACTTCTTTCATAGAATGTTGTGCTCTTTTTACAAACTTTTTAGAATTTATTTTTGCAGATTAATTTGATACTACTCATGGAGTTGGCTTTGGTGAAAGAAATAGATAAAATCCCTGACAGGTCTTGCCCTCTAAGTTGCATTTTAGAATTGTTGGCAGTTGTGTATGGTGGTCCCTGTGATGTCCAGTTTGATAGCCATATAAAATGCATCCTTCAAGGTACTTTCTAAAAATGGTCTCTTGTTCTTGTTTTGTGGGTCAGTCTTGTTGTTATAAGTGGTTTCTTACTTTCTTTTCTCACCTCTTTGCCATCCTGAGAAGGGTCCAGTTGTTTGAGGGCGGAGAAACAGGTGGATCGACTACTAATGACACTAGAGACTGAATATCTTCAACCTGAGGGTCAAACTTCTGGTTTCAATGGACCCATTCATGCTACAAGTCACTTGATTTATGCATCTCAACATTGGGCTCTAATTCATGTGGGTTTTGTGCGGCGTCTTATTCCTCATTGCACACAGCTGATTGAACGGGCAGATGTGCATGGTGAGAAGGTGGCAGCTGCTAATTTTTCTGAGAGGTTGTCTTTCAGTTTGAGGATTCTAAGGTTACTCAGAAGCCTTGTGAAGGAGAATCCTTATGTTGAGTATGATGCCTACCTATTGCAGCAGGTTGCTTCATTTGCTGATACTCTACCTAGTGTCTTTGGACACAGGTTTGAATTTGCGGATAACCAAGGTGCTGTAGAGAGCGACTTTGAGAACCTTGTATTATCTCTACTAGAAGAGTTCCTTCATCTAGTCCAATCCATATTTGGTAACAGCAGCATTTCTCAAAATATACAGGTGTATATTGTGGCTTCCATATTAGACAACTTGGACT